TTTGTTTTGAAAATATCAGTATGAACTCTTGATGTTTTAAAAATTTATCTCCTAGCTCTGTGCACGAGACCAGTGCTTAAAGCCGCAGTCACACACAAGCACGCTGAACACACCTGGTCCCTGGATTCTGGTTTCTAAACACCCTCCTGCCGGGAGGGGACCACAGCGCTCACAGAAGGAGCCGACCACGGCTCTGGAAACGGAGAGCACGGCTGCAGGAAGGACAGACCGCCAGGACAGTGCCAGGAGCCGGCTCCACGGGTTTCCCACGAGTCGGCCATGACAATCTGAGCGCTACGACAAAGAGAGGAGACTTCAGCAGACTACGATGTAACAGATAAATCTGCTAGTCTGCACTGATACTCAAAGAATCAAAGGAAAAATGAAAACATCTGCCGCGGAGGGGGGACGCTGCAGCCCCTGGCCCCTGGAAAGGGGTGACGAGGGGAGAAGACGCAGCGTCCTGCCTTCCTCGCGTGTCACAGGTAAGGGAAACGCACGTGGAAGGCAGGGGGAGGAACGCGCGACAGAGCGGGGCCCATCCCGGCAGGACAGTCAGGGCAGCACACAGGATGCCCAGCACCGCCGCCTGAAGACGCAGGGTCCCTGGCGGGTGACGCCCGCGGGTGGGAGCAGCTGGGCCCCGGGGGCCAGCTGCAACTTATCCTCAGACGGCCAAGCCTGCAGAGGGCGGCCCCCAACTGCCCGCCGTGTTGTTCAAGGGCCAACTGTCAACGGCAAAGCAGAAAATGGCAAACAGACCCAGACACAGGGACATTTCTGCAAGACAACTGGCCTAGTCTCTTCAAAAAGTCAACGTCCCGAGTGGGGAAACCGGACTGCGGCCTGGCCGCTGAATGCCACGAGGATGACCGCTCACTCCCTCCACGGCCGTACTGCTGGGGCGAGAACGTGCCTCTGCGTCTCTCTTCTTCTGGGTGGCATGAAGCCCACAGGACCTTGGGTCCCTGACCGGGGACTGAACCCGGGCCCTTGCAGGCAATGTGCTGAAGCGTGAATCCAAACCACTGGACTGCCTCTTCTGAGAAGAGAAGGACGCTCAGCGGCGACGTGCTGTGACCCTTGCTGTCTCCTCAGAGTCCAAAGGCACAGGTGGGGGACCCGCGCCAGTGCTCCAGCTCAGGGCCGGAGCAGCGGCGCCTGGACCTGCTCCCAACCCACCACCCAGCCTTCAGGACACACGCACGCCGGCCTGCAGCCCAAGCCCCGGGCACCTGGGGGCTGCCAGGCCGCACCCGGGCAGCCTCGTCCTCGGACGTGGCAGCCTTCCCACCAAGGCTACCGGTGCAGAGCTGGTCCACACTGAGGGCGAGCCGCACCTGCGGAGGGTGCAGAGCCACGGCGAACATCTTCCCGGGGAGGAGCCGCCCTGAGTGCAGAGAAGCCACCACCCAGGACTGGCCGGGTGGAGGCCAGAGCGCACTGCGGGGCCGAACTCAGAGACCCAGGCCCGCAGCTACCTCCTGGAGACGCGGCGGGGCACCCTGACGCGGCCCGAGCAGCACACGGGCTCCGTGCAGGGCCGCGGAACCTGTCCACCCAGAGGCACTCCTGGTCACAGGTCAGGGCTGCCAGGCTGGCTCCACTTTGGCTTCGAGGGCATCCACGCAGTGCCAGTGCCTACTCTGGGCGGTCCCACCAGCCACAGGTCTGACGGGCCGCCACTGAACGTGGTTCAAGTGTCCACGTGCGCCCACGTGGCACCCGAACTCCCACTCCAAACAGCACACACCCCGGGCTGCTCCCTCCCGGCAGGCCGACCGTGGGCAGGCTCAGTCACCGGGCCCTGGGTGAGGATGGGCCCTCCGTTCAGGCCTGCGGGCTTGGGGCGGGCAGGGCAGGGCCGCTTGGATGGAGGAGCCATGGCGGGCAGTGCCCAAGGTCAGCAGGGGACGCTCCGCCCAGGCCCAGCATCTCTGGTTTCTGGGGTGCACAGACTTCGCTGGGGGGGTAGGCGGCTGCCGCAAGGCCTTCACCCGAAGGAGAGCGGAACCCGAGCAGGGTAAACACCTGAGCAAGGCGGGCGACGGGCCTTACGACAGGACATGGCCCGAACGCTGGGGCCGGGCTCCACACCTCACTGCTGCTTCTCACGCAGGGTCTCCGCTCCACCACCCCGAGACCCCTCGGCACGGGACGCAAAGGTCCTTTCCTCTCCAAACAGTCTTCCAAGAGCGCACTTCTCACACTGCCCGTCACCCTTGCCCATGTCTGCCTGTGCTCTTCCTTGGAGAGATCACTCTGCCTTCTTCTCTGTCCATCCCCACCACGACCCTGCAGCGTGGCCCCAGCAGGTAGAACAGTGCCAGGTGAGAGGAGAGAGAAGAGGAACCTCCACAGAGGCAGGCATCTCCAGCTCTCCTGGGCCCTCTACCTCGGAAACAGGAGGAAGGAGAAGAAATGACTTTCTTTCATTCCTAACGATGCCTTCCAGGATACCAGCTGCCAAAAGCACACATCAGAGAGTTAGCTAGAAGTGATCTAAATTCCCGAGTGATGAAAATCAGGCGGTGACGAAGCCTAAGGGAGAAGGGAGGGAAAGACAGGGAAGTAGAAGGGGCTGACGCTCTGGAAGCTGCCTGACAGGACGTCTGCCGACACCCGGACACTGCAGGGAGGCCAGCCGGGAGACTGCGGGGTGGTCGGGGCGGGATTCCATGCAGCTTAATTCAGTGAGACACCAACCATAAACAGAAACGATGCCTCCTATAGCTTACGTCAAGTCCTGGGATTTAAACAGTGCCTTAAACATCGAGCGGTAACCAGGAGCATGACCGTCACCTCTCAGCCGCGTGCCTCGTGCAGAGAAGCTTAGGAGGAAACAGCGCTGCTGAGGGACAGTCGGAGGCGCCCCCGTGTGCCTGCGCCCAGCAGTCCTCCCACTGAAGGAGGGAACGAGAGCAGAGTGGGAAGGAGGAGCTGCGGCCGGGCAGAGACACACAGACAGTGTGGCGGGGAGGACAGGCTGACCGCGGTCACAGCGCCTCGTGCTCCCACAGCCCCGCGGCCCAGGTCTGCCCACTCCCCAGCTTCCACGCCGGGCAAGGATCTGAAAGACAACACACACGCCCTTCACCACGCACTGAGCACAGCGGCCTCGGCTCCTCTGCACAGACGCAGGGCTTAGTCCACCACCCTCACGGTCCCCCTCAAACCTTTCCCAGCGCTTCAGGAGCACTCCTGGCAGAGTGAGCCACTCACAAACCTCCTTCTGTGTGTAGTGACATGAAAAAGCAGAGCAGACATATCACACCCGAAAACATCAGGGATTAACAGTACGTGTGGGGTGATGTGGACTCAAAGTCTGTGCTTTCTTCCAATACAGGAGATTAACTTCCTGAAGACTCATAGAATCTCTTAACTTGTGCTACATCTTTTCCTGAGAAAATGTAAACCACCACAAGCAGATACCATCTGTTTAAGGATCACAGGAAGCACGCACCCCTGCACGGACAGCCCGTGGCAGACCCTGAGTATGAACTGGTGAAAGCAGTCTCCTCTCACAAGATAACTCTGCATGGAAATTAAGTCATAACTGCAATTTGGCTTGTTCGAGTGCTTTTTAAAAACTCCAACTAAATCCTTCTTCCTCTCCTAATTTTAACACCGTGATGTAGAGAAGACATCAAAAATTAATATAAAAAGTCACAAAAATGCCTTAGCAAACTGGTCTCATGCAAGTCTGAGATGCGTTTTTCAAAACTATGGACTTAATCTGACCAGAGTTAACTTCAAAACAAATAACTTCCCTTTTTTCCAAACTTGAGAATGCCCACAGAAGCTTCTCCTGATGGCCCAGCTGGGCAGGGATTTGCTTGCAGAGGTGCATGTATGTGTGTCTATGGACAGTCACCTAAAATGCTAGGAGAGTCTCGGGGGCTGGCAATTCTCTTCAGCAAGCAGGATGGTGTGGGTCACAGAAAAAAAGATAAAAGAAGATACACAAATGACTCCGTCGTTACTTGGGTCTTAAAAAAAAAACCCAAAAAACCGCAACTGGAAAAACGCTCGAAATTCTGCTCTGCAGTTTGATTCGGGCTTTCACTACTTACACTTGAATGTCATACCCAGAAACACGCACGGTAACCGAGAAGCATCAGAGCCGTGCAGAGATGAGAAGCGTCTCGTGTGCTCCCTGAGACGTGTAAACGAGGCCCCGGTTGCTCCTTCCTGGAAGCGCACAGAAAATGAAATACCGTACCTGGGTGGGGGGCACCCGAAAAGCACAGCGTGTAAGGCGATCCATGGCGGTGGCGGAGGGCAGAGGCCCTCAGGACAGACACACACCAAGCACCTGTCTGCCGGCCGGCGACCCCCGCCCCAGGGCGACTGCGGCCCGGGGTCCGCCGCGTGGTCAGCCGGAGAGCCCACGCCGGCCGGCACGTCTGTCCCCGTGCTCGCCCGCGGCCGGCCCGGGGTCCGCGCCCGCTTCCACGGCCTCGCGCTTGCTCCGCCGGCCGCGCGGCCGGAAGAGGCGCCCCGGGTGCCCCGCNCCGGCCCCGCCCCCGGGCGGCCAGTTGGGAGGCCGCGAGGTACTCGGCGCTGGCTGGACGGGGGGCGTTGGCGGGGCGGGCCGCCGGGGCCTTCCTGGTGACTCGGCGGCAGGGCGGGCGCACGCGAGCCGCGGCATCGGGAGCTGCGGCGCGACGGGCGCCCTGTTCCGCCTGCAGGTGCGCGCAGGTGCGCGGCGCTGCCCGGCCGCGGAGCCTGGGAAGGCGTCCGTCCTGCCGAGGGGCTCCGGGGGGGCTCTGCGTGCGCGCCGGGCGCGTTTTGGCCCTGGAGTCAAGGGCGATAAGGTGCAGCCGTGCGCAGGGATTAAAGCTTAACGTGTGGGAACCGGGGGGCCCGTCGTCTCGGGAAAGCCGCGGGCCGGGCTCGCTCTCCGTGTCTGTCCCGGACAGTTTCCTAACCCACAGTAATTCACTGACCAAATAAATTCTCCAACTGATTTTGTCACCCTGTTCTAGACTACAACTCACTTTGTACGAGAACGAGACACAGGTTCATTCCCTAAGTCTCGCTGTAACGGTTAGGACGTCTTACGTTCAACAATGACTGGTCCGCTTCAGTGGGGTCAGTTGGCCATGTCTCCCCCCACAACGGCCTCCACGCCCCCCGCCCCCCAACTCTGCCTGCCCGTCCGTGACCCCCGCCCTCTGCCTGCCTGTCTGGCCTCTGATCGCACTCCAGTCCCAGAGGCCTGACCTCTGCGACAGGCGGGCGAGAACTTAGGACCTTCTCCCGCCCTCTTTTAATTTGCTTATTATCAAGTCTTAAGTTGGTCGCAACAGGTTTTGTTCCTTTTGTTCTCCTACCCCAGCGGCTGCTGGGTTCTGTCTGGCCCAGGACGGTGGTGGAGGTCTGTTGTAAAGCTGGGGGCTGGCGGGTGGACAGTAAAGGATGGCTGCGGTCTAAATCCTGCCGCCAGCGTTTTTTATTTGACCCCAAGCTAAGCATGTTTTTTCAGTTTTCAATGGCTGGGAAGAAAAAAGAATATTTCATGATATGGAAATTCTGTGAAATTCAAATGTCAGTGTCCTGACTGGAGTTTTCTCAGAACAGAGGGGAAACCTCTGCTTCACGGCCCACCTCCAGCTGTGTTCACCACTCAGGCCACGTTGAGGAGCTGGGGCACAGACCCCGTGTCAGGCAAGGCTAGGAGTATTTGCTTTCTGGCCCTTTGCGGAAGAAGTCATCAGCTCGTGCCCTAGATGAATGGGCAACCTCTTACCTGGTCCCACGGCTTGTCATTCCTCCACTGACTGCCTCACGGGGGCTGCTGTCTCATGGTCAAAACTGGATCTTAAAAGCTTGGTGGTGGTGCCCACTGCCCAGCTCCTGCCGCCTGCCTGCACTCGCTGACTCCGCTCCAGCCCAGGTGGTCTCCTGGGCCCCACCCCAGGGCCTCTGCGCGGACTCTTCCTGAACTGGAATGCTCTTCCCCGCATGGCTGCCTGTCTCACCCTTCACCTCTGCAGATCTTTGCCCAGATGTCATCTGGAGGAGGGGGCGTAGCTCCTTCTGGTCTTTCCCTACAGAGCAGTACCCCCCCACCCCCATCTCCCAGCCTCATTCTCCTCTGACATTGACCTGTTTGTGGTCAGCCTCTCAGGGTGGAAGGAGCGCTCCAGGGGCCAGGGCCTGCTCTTCCTGTGTGATGATGGGCAGTGCCCAGTTCCCTGCATCTTGATGGGTGGGCTGATTGCGAGTGCCAGCACTGATCTGAAATGGATGTAAAAGTTTCCCCTGGCCGGTGACGACAACCCTTCCCCAAGGGCCTCACCAGTTCCCCCTCCCTCCTTTGTCTGCGTGCGCTTCTCCCACCTGCAGCCTGGCCGGATGTGCCTGCTCTGACCTCTTCCAGGAAGGGTTTTTGTCTCATCTCTCACTGACCCCATGGACATGAATCTGGGAAAACTCTGAACAGTGGGGGTCGGAAAAGCCTGGCGTGCTACAGTCCGTGGGGTCACAAAGAGACACGACTGAGGGGCTGGATAACAACAGCAAAACGTGAATGCCCAGATGGGGCGCCGTGGGCCTGAGATGGGGCACGGCACTCATGAGACTGGCACCAGCGTAAACCGGACCGTTCCAGTGACTCGGGCCACCTCGTGACCCTGTCAACAGCTGCGGGCCATTCATGTACCACACCCTGGATGAGCACTTTCTGTGAGCCCGAGATGCTGGACGTTATTTTTAACTCAAACAAGAGAAGCGTGAGCACCTGTGTTTTATCTGCGTTCTGAGCACAGACTCGAAGCCCCAGGAGAGAGGGAGGGTTACGTTTCCTGCCCGGTGCTGGCCGCGGTGTGCAGTCCATGCTTAGGAATAAAGAGCGACCAGCCACCCGCTCTGAGGCCAGCGAGGCCGAGGCCGGGCTGACCTGCAGCGCCCTGGTGGCTCTCTGCCCACACGGGCTGCACTGTGGTCCTTGGAAGGGGTTCACCCCACACTGATTCCAAGCCCAGCTCAGGGGACGTGAGGTTGATGGTGTCACATGTGGAAGCTGCTGGGCGCCCGGCCCTGGTGACCACATCAAGGGTCCTGATGGCTGGGCCTGAAGTGAGGGTGGCTGTGCTGTGGAGCCCCATCTGCATAGGGGTTTGGGGCAGACACCCGCCTGTCTCTGGCTGAGTCCCAGAGTCCATGGTTCCCTCTTCCTGGGGTACAGGTCTTTGTGGCTCCAGGACCTTGAAAATGGGCCCCTCCGTTGTCCTCATCACATGTCCCTGCCTTCCCTTCAGGGCAGCAGGAATGCTGTGAGTGTGTGTGTGTGTGTGTGTGTGTGTGCAGGAGGGGAAAACTGCCAGTAGGTCAGGTGAGGAGACCCCAGGTGGGCCCAGGGGGAAGGGCAGCCGTCCGGCTGCAGGAGGCGGCTCTGGGTGCTGAGCACCCACCAGACCCTCGCCGCGTTGTGTCCCTGGGAGCACCACCCCCACCCCAGGCAGACGGTGACATCCTTGCTCCTCTGGGGAGGAGGACTGGAGCTGGAGGCAGGGCGTCCCCGAGGGGGCGGAGCCGGCAGGGCACAGAAGGGTCACACGAGGTCTGGGAGCCGAGCAGCGGCCCCCCATGTCAGAGGTGGATTGGGGCTGCTGGACACAGTGGCCGGACAGGAGGGCGCTGGGGAGTTTGTCCAGGTCTCAGGTTTTGCTCTGGGCCCGGGTGGGCGGGGGCTTGGGAATCCCTCCGAGGACCACCCTCTCCAGGCAGGCATCAGCGGGTCCCCTGGGGGCCCCACATGGCTCTTCTGAACTGGACCCCGGAGTCACTCTGCACACTGACCCCACCTCCTCACCTGGGGGGGCTTGGCCCTCCCCACCTTGCACCTGCCCCAGCCCCCCAGGAGTTGGCGCGTTTGCAGTTTGGGAGGAGGGGTGCGGGGGCACTGGAGGCCCAGGGGGCAATGGGCAGCCTGGAGTGGGGAGGTTTCTGTGGTCGCCCATTCCAGTGGGGGTGATGTCCTCAGGGATTTGGGGGTATGCAAGGGGGGCAGTGGGGCCTGGGGGTGGACGAGTGGTGAGGGGTAGAGTGAGCCCCCAGGCTTGGGTCTGGGCTGCCGAGGGACCGAGACTGGGGTGGGAGGGAAGCCCATCAAGGCTGCAGACCTGAGTCCAGTGCCCACTGCCCAGAGCCCACCTGCCTGCCTTCCCACAGCCTCGCGCCTGCCCTGCTCCAGGCTCCACATCCCAGGAAGCCAGGGGGAGGGGGCAGGTCCCAGTACCACCCCCACGCAGGTAACTGGAACCCAGGTACCCCCCAGGACCCCCGTGGCCTCCTGGGGTGGGCGAGGCAGGGAGTGGAGCTGAAAGGAAGCACCTCTGCGGCTTCCACTTCTCCACGCCTCGGCGTTTTTCATCGTCACTTTGTGCCCTGCTGTCGGCGGCTTCCCGTGGTTTTCCTCTGGGCGGAGGGGGTCCAGGGCAGGGCAAGGCCGTCCTCCTTTGGGGCTGAGGAGCTTCCGGGGCGTGCTCTGAGCCCCCGGGACCTCACAGGGACCCCGGGTGGTCCTTGACTCTGCATAGGAGGCCATGCTGCTGTCCTGGGTCTGCCAGCCTGGGGAGTGACGGCCAGAAGTGAGTGGTCCAGGGGCCCGAGCGCAGGGCGGTTGTGCTGGGAACACTGACCCCGAGGCCTCACTGACGGCGGGACAGCCTGGGGCCCATCGAACCTTGAGCCGGCATCGCCGGGGGCCTGGCTGCCCTTCCCGAGACGCTGGAGTGACGGCGGCGCCAGCTTCCCTGGACGGGCGGAGAGGGACCCAGGGGTGGGGGGTGGGGGGGAGCCGTGTCTGCCACGTGCCCCCCCAGCCCTGCACTCTTGCTTAGAAGGCCGTGGGGGCCCGCGCAGGTGGGGGCCCAAGGGAAGGACCGCCCAGCCCCTGAGAAGGTGAGGGCGAGCGGGCGCCGCTGAGGCGCAGGGGCTCCTGGGGCTCCCCGCCGGGGTTTGGCCGCGTCCTGGGCTGCAGAAGAGGCGGCTTGAAGGGCTGGGGCGGCCGTGCTCGCAAGACCACTCGGGGCGCGGGGCAGTCGGCGAGGGGGCCCTGGCCGCTGCAGGAGGCACCCCGAGGGCTGTCGGAGAGAGAGGCGGGACTCAGGGGGGCCCTGGAGAGCAGCTGCAGGTGGGGCGCCTCGCAGGTGGTGGGGACCGCGCTGAGACCGGAGTGCAGGGAACAGAACTGGACTTACCATTTTTGTGGGGAGGGGCAGGGAAACATAGCGGCAGTAAGTGCCGCAGTCAGGAGAAAGAGCTACGCGGGCTGGGGTGGGCACACGGGGTGTTCAGATGCAAAGGCCCTGGGGCTGTGGGCACGGGCCAGGAAGGAAGAGGCCCCATGGAGAGGCTGCGGTTTTAGAGCTGAGGCGATCCCAGCAGGTGTCCTCGGTGGGAGTGTGTGGGATGAAGGGCCTGGGGAGGCAAGCCCAGGTGGGAGCAGGCCCTGACCGGGCGGAGGGTTCGGGTGGGCTCAGGCGCCGGCCCCAGATGTCAGGCACCTGTCCGTGATGACTGGCTGTTTTATTTTCCAAGGTAGAAATAACTCGGGGTTTATGTGGGTAACTAGGATTGCTAGATTTAGCAGATCTAAAAAGGTGTGTCTATCTGATTTAAAATGTAACTGGGTGAACTGTATTTCATCTAGAAGCCCAATCTTAACAGGAGGACCATCCCTGTTAACAGCCCAGCCAACACTGAAAGGAAAATGGAGAACTGTGTATGATAACACCCCCTCCAAAGGATGACTTTGAAAACAGTTAGATATCTGGCCCAGGTTTTACATACAAGGCTGTTGATTAAAATTTTATTACTATATGTACTTTTCTCAAATCTACTCTTTTCACTTAACAGAATAGCTTCTTCCACATGGACACATGGATGATGGCTGTGCAGGTCACGTTAACGCTGAGCGTGGTGTGGGAGGGGGCCAGCCGTCCTGACCCCGGGCGGCAAGAGTTCTCTGAGGAGCACGGGGTGCTCATGCTGTTTGCCTTTTGGTCATTTCATCAGAAAACAGTACTAGCAATGGATTTTATTTTTTATGAAAATGTTACTGAGATAACTAGAGGTTCACTTGCAGTTCTGACAAATGATACAGGGGTGCCCTAGGACGCCGTAGCCAGGACTCCCCAGGAGTAAGCAGCATTTATAAACTGAAAGTGAAGATCCCATCCAGGATGGGGGTGCTGGTACAGCCACTGGTTGTGTTCTGGTTCCCCTAGTTTTGTTTCACTTGTACGTGTGTGTGTGTGTGTGTGTGTGTGTGGTAAATTCTATACAGTTTTATCAGCCAGGTTGGTTTGGGAAATCTCCATCAAGACACTGAAGAGTCCCACCGATGATTGTTATTTTGTCCTTTTATAACCACACTGCCCCACCTCGTCCCAAAACCCAGGAAAGGCAACTCCCTTCCAAAAGCTTGTCATTTTAGTGTTCCTTAGATCAAACTGCCAACACCTGTTGGATCATCGAAAAAGAAAGAGAATTCCAGAAGAACATCTACTTCTGCTTCATTGACTACGCTAAAGCCTTTGACTGTGGATCACAATAAACTATGGAAAATTCTTAAAGAGATAGGAATACCAGATCACCTCACCTGCCTCCTGAGAAACCTGTATGCAGGTAAAGCAGCAACAGTTAAACCAGACATGGAGCAATGGACTGATTCCAATTTGGGATAAGAATACACCAAGGCTATATATTGTCACCCTGCTTATTTAACTTATATGCAGAGTACATCATGAGAAATGCAGGCTGGATGAAGCACAAGCTGGAATCAAGATGACTAGGAAAAGACCCTGATGCTGGGAAAGATTGAGGGCAGGAGGAGAAGGGGACGACAGAGGATGAGATGGCTGGATGGCATCACTGACTCAGTGGGCATGATTCTGAGAAAACTCTGGGAGATAGTGATAGACAGGGAGGCCTGGCGTGCTGCAGTCCATGGGGTTGCAAAGAGTCGGACACGACTGAGCGACTGAGCAACAACAATGAAGTTGGAATCCAGGGTGAGGAACCTTTTGGGATTGGCTGTTTTGCTCAGCATGGGGTTTCTGAGGTGGTTCTAGTGGTAAAGAACCTGACTGCCAGTGCAGGAGATGTAAGAGACACAGGTTCGATCCCCGGGTCTGGAAGATCCCCTGGATGAGTGCATGGCAACCCACTCCTGTATTCTTGTCTGGGATTCCACGGACAGAGGAGCCTGGTGGGACACAGTCCACAGGGTCGGAAAGAGTCTGACACGACTGAAGTGACTTTAGCGTGATAATTCCCTGGAGACTCATCCCCCCGGTCTGAGTGTCACTGCCCATCCCCCGTGTTGCTCAGCAGTGTTCCCTGGGGTGGATGGACCACTCTTTGTTCTGGCATCCACGGTTGGCTCAGCCATCTCCAGTTGAAGGACATCTGTGTTAATTCCTGTTTGGGTCTGTTCCAAATAAAGATCCTAGGAATATTTGTGTATGTGTTTGGGTGTGGACAGAAGTCTTCAGTTCTCTGGGGTAAATGCCCAGAGGGTCCCTTCTGGGCCACGTGGGCCTGCATGTTTGGATTCTGAGGAAACCGCCAAGTTCTACCTTTCCACGTTCCGCTAGCAGGCATCAGTGATCTCGTCTCTCCACGTCCTGGCCGGCATCAGTTGTGGTCTTAACTTTTTCCTCTGTCACTGTAATAGGGGTGATATCTCGCTGTGCTTTAGAGGCTAATGAGAGGCGAAGTCTTAGTCCCCCAACCAGGGATTGAATCCTACCCACTGGGAGACTGCCAGGGAAGCCCCTACAGATGCTTAGTTGACATCTGTGTATGTTTTCCTTAAACTGTCTCTTCGTATCT